TTATGAGGACTCTTGGGGTGCTGATTCTGCAGAGAACTTTCAGTTAAGTGTTTGCCCACTTCCTGCCTCTGTTAGATGAGGAGACACGTGCAGAGGGACTGACTTTGTTGTGAGAGTCCTGGTGTTTGCACATCTGGGAGAAGACCATAGTGTTACTGTCCAGTGGTCTTTCCTGTATATTTTTTTCATATCATTTGCTTGTTAACAAAAGAAAAGAAAAAAAAGACGTGGTTCTTATGCCAAAGCTAATGAGTATTTCCGACATTTAATGTAGTGATGAGTATAAAATGTCATGACGATGAAGTATAAGTTGACCTCGTCAAAGAAGATCAGGGACTGTGTGGCCCGGAACATTTGATATTTTGTGAACAAGTTTTAACTATTGGGAAGAGAATGATTCAGCAGACTGTTGGTGTTTCTGAAGTACAGGAGGCCAAGTGCCAGATCCAGATAGAGGCCTTTAAAAGCTAACAGTGGCACTGGCTGACAACCCAAATTGAGTTAAACCATTATTATAATTGATGTGGTTATTATCTTGAAATCATGTGGCATACTTATTCAAAAGCTTTGGTGGTGTCATTTCATTTCTCTTTAATACTAATGATGTGTCATCATTCAAATGTTGATAGCATTTAAATTTCAGATTGTTACAATGAGAAATTATAAAGAATCTATATGATAACTAAATATTTGTGTGAATTCTACTCTCTCATGAGCTGCTTCTTATAAGATTCTTTTAATACAAGACAGATATGGAGTAGTGTCTCAGGGTTCTGCCTTTGTTTTCCTTCTGGGTCTCTGTAGGGATCCTGCCTCCACACCATGAGTCTCATGCCCAGGTGATGATGTACCGCAAGGAGCAGTACTCTGATGTCCTTCACGCTCTGAAAGTCGTTCGCTTCGTCAATGACGCTACGCCACACGTTGAAGTCTATCTCCGCATGTATCAGCTGGAGTGTGGGAAGTTGCCTCGAAGCCCATCTTTCCCACTGGTTAGTGGTCACTTTGGCTCAACACATAGCCCAACTCTTGACTGTCCTGTCTGCCAGCCTTTGATTGCATGAGATTTGCCTTAGAAACTTTCACTGACGCCCCATTGTGAGTAGCATGAATAGCACATCTTTATCTGGCATCCATGACCCTGCACATTCTGACCTTGTGTACTTTTTAAAAATACAGTTTAAGTACAGTCATACATTGTTTACCAACAGGGATACTTCTGAGAAATGTGTTGTAAGGCAATCTTGTTGTTATGCAGACATTACCGAGTATATTTACTCAAATTAAGACCACCATGACCAGGCAATTTAATCTTATGGGACCACAATCATATATTGGGTCTCTTGCAGATGTAATCACGTGGCACATGGGAATGTAATTACAAACCTATAGAAAAATTGCAAATATTATCAAGAATTCCTGTATACTGTTTTTTCTGATTCCCATTGTTAACATTTTAAGGCATCTACTTTGTCATTTTTCCTATAAATCCACACATACTCCTTTTTTTAAACCATTTGAGAGTAAGATGTGGACATGATGCACCAGGACCTCAGATATCTTCACTGTATACTTCTTCCTTTTTTGGGGGGGGAGGAAATAAAGGATAAAGTAGGTTTATTGCTTTGCTGGCAAAGGAGAAACATAGGGGGGACTCCTGTCCCAAAGACTCTCCCAGTCAGGAGAGTTTTAAAGGATCCCTTGGAGAGTTATATTCCAGGTGTGCTCTGGTAGGCAGTCCCAGGGCACCCTGATGGCATGTTAGGATTCATTGGTTAATTTGGAAGATATTCACTTCCCAGATCCTGAGCAGACGTCTCCTTCCTGTAGTGGGTATGTTCAAGGGCACTTAACTACGGGAAGAAAAGATACCACTGTCTCCCTAATCTTGTTAGGGAGGGCAAGAGGGGAGAACAGAGAAAAAAAAGAAACATTAAAAAAAAATAAGCCTTAGAGCCATGAAGGCTACATTCAGAAGGTGAAGGGACCTCTGTTACATTTCCCCACTGTCAATTTCTACCTTCCATTTCTGTGGAAAAGTGGGCAACGATATCTCTCAGCTACTTTATGCTGAAAGAGGGCGAAGTTGGGGGAAGTGACCCAAAGTCCTTGTTTTCTGTTGGCTGGGGCATGGACAGTTAAGGATATTCAGCATCACAGCAGTCCAGAGGTTCACGGTAGCAGTTGGCAGGTGACTGGGCAGGGTATACATAGGCAAGGTTTATGCTAGGACAGCAATAAAGAAGACAGCAAAGGGTTACTTTTTTTGGTGAACAATTAATATGAAAACAACTAGTATTTCAGCCAGTCTTGGGAATATAGGCCACTGTTTACTTCTTGAAGACAAGAACTCACCTATAAAATAATCCTAGTACAGTCATCAAAACTAAGAAGTTACATGGGGATAGAATATTAACATGTAATCTACAGACGTCATTCAAACTTGACAATTTTTCCCAGTAATGCCCTTTGTCACAAACACACAATGAAAGTTCTGGATGAAGATTGATTTTGAATTATGAATTGCATATATTGTGTTGTCATATTGCTTTATTCTCTTCAATTTGGGACAATTTCTTCAATTTTCTTATCTTTCATGCTTTTAACATTTTGAGGGGTATAGGTCATTTTTAGAAAGCCCCTCACTTTAGGTCTGGCTGGTGCTTCCTCCTGACGAGATCCAGGTGTCCACTCAGTGGGAATATCACATGGGTCACATCCTTCTCCATGTGTTGTATCAGGAGGCACAGAATGTGGATTTGTCCCATGAGAGGTAATGCTAGTGTTGATGCACACCTGGTGATGGTGTGCCTGCTGGGATTGGCACTGGAAAGTTATTGTTCCCTTTGTGGAGACTGTAAAACTACTACATGATTTTTTTTTGTGTGAGAAAATTTAAAAAAAATTTAAATTTATTTATTCTAATTTGTTATACAAGACAGCAGAGTACATTTCAATTTGTAGTACACATGTAGGGCACAACTTTTCCTGTCTCTGGTTGTTCACAAGGTAGAGTCACACCATTCGTGTCTTCATTCATGTACTTAGGATGATGATGTTCATCTCAGCTACATGATTATTTCTTATTAAACTTTTGCCCATGAGTTTCACCATTTGTTGATGATTTCAAGAAATTTTTGAATTTTAATGTTTAATATTTAAATACTTCTGGAAATAGAAAAAGTAGTGCAGTGTCCCCAGACGCCTTTACCAGCATCCTCAACTGTATCGTTCATGACCCTGGTGTAGTGATCAGTCCCAGAAAGCTAGCCACGATCCTACTCTAGCAACTAATCTGAAGATCTTACTGAAATCTGCCGACTGTCCTACTCATGCCCTTCTTCTGATCCCAGGTGCCATGTCTTCTTTAATCCAGAAAGTTCCACAGTCTCTCTTGCTCTTTCATGATCTTGAAACTTTTGAAGAGTACTGGCAGTAGAACTTTTCTCCATCTGAGTTTGTCGGATGTTTCCTCATGATTAAAATCTGGTTATGCATTGTTCAAGAAGGCCACAGAGGTGTGATGATCGCTCCTGTTGCTGCTGGCCTGATCACCTGGTGAAGGTGGTGTCTGCAGCCTTCTCCACTGCAGTGTTACTGTTTTCCTCTTTATGATTAATATGTAACTTGTGGTGAGGTTGAGGCTTATAAATACCCAACAACTAATAATTCTTGTCTGAAAGTTTTTAGTCCTCTGATTGCCAAATGGTGGTTTTCTAACTCCCTTATTCCTTCTGTGCTTATTAGTTGTTTTTCTTCTATCAGGAGGACTTTTCCCCTCTCTTGCTTATAGATATCAATATGGATTTATGATCCTTTCTTATTCAGTGACCTGTAATCTGTTACTGCCCTATTTCTTTTTGTGTTCAGAATGTGCCAGATTTGGCTTTGGGGAGCACTTTGCATCTGACACCTGTGTCATTTTGACAAGTTCCCATCATTTCCCATGTTTCCTAACTTTCTGGCACAAGATGTTCCAGGCTCGTCTTGAGTGACTGTGGTACCAGCCCTCTCTTTTTAGAGGAGATGTGATATTCACAGACCGCAAACCTGGCCCTAAATGTGCTCCTTTTTTCCTGGGCTCTCTTTGTTTCCAGGCACTCTGAGCAGAAGCTAGGAAATCTCTGTGCACATACTCACTCACACTGGTATTCACCATGTCCCCTTAGTGGATGGATGGGTGGTTTTGTGTGGCACTGGGGATTGAATGCGGTACCTCACGTGCTGTGTGTGCTCTACATTGAGCTCGGCCCCTGTACATCACATTCTTTCCTTCCATCTATCTATCTATCTATCTATCTGTATTAAAAACCCCGAGTTCAACTGTTGGGTCTACTCCCACTCCAGTGTCTCAGGTTCTTTCTGGCTGTCACCGTGTCCGTGCTCCCAGTTCCTCTGGTTGCCTATGTGGAGAGGCCCCGTGATGGGGCCTCAGTGTGCTTTCTTCTTTACCCATTTCCCTGTGTGTAACCAACCCTTGGCCCTGGCTTGCAGGCCCTTGGGCTCCTTGGCCCTGACCCTCAGGGTGCAGATGGTCCTGGATGTTCACCGCCTCCTCACCCTGACCTCTCGTCACCCCTCACACCTCCTTGGCCTTATCTGTTTCCTCTTCTAACCTCACTGGATCCCAACCGCTTTTTAAACTTCATCCGTAGCAAACCTTTCACTCTCGTTACTTGCACTACTTACCGCTATGAGAGAGGAAAGAGGAAGGAATAACTATAGAATCTAAACTCTGGCTGTTTTGGTACAGTCCTCTCTGGGCATTTTAATGAAGGTTTTATGTGTTTGTTAGGTGAACAGGCTGCAAGGTCCAAGCAGGGATTTGTTTGAGAGCCTGGCTATCCTATAAAATGTTCATTTTATTGTAGATTGGGCTTGGACTTATTTTTGTTTTTGCAGTTAATGATGTGGAACCCATGGACAAACCTCAGAGCTAATAAAGGTCATCTACTTCTAATGAATTTGTCAAGAGAGAAGATACCTAAATAATAAGTAGAACTTTTCACTTGACTGGTGCAGTGGGGTTTCGAGCACCACACGAGTTCTCAACCTACACATTAGACTAGATTAGATAATCTGGTAGCTCAAGAAACATAAATGAGAGGCTGCAGCTCCCACCCCACCCTGTTCAACCTTTCCCGGCCCCAAGCCCCGACACCTTCATTGCAGTCTTGGGCACACATGCTGTTGGAGTGTATTTTTTGAGCATGACACCACACCCTCCCCTGGCATAGAGCCCCAATCATTTTTTTTTAAATTTTTAATCTGTGTGATTAAAAAGAGTGTATGATGGTGCATGGCCAGGAATGTGGTGCCTGAAGGGCATTGGTCCTCTTCCCTTAAAGAGGAAGCAGTCAGGGACCTTGCACTGTGCCAAGAACGCCCGGGAAACCCAAAAAAGAAAACCTTCCCCCCTCTTTTTCCCCCCCTCCCCGAAAAAAATTTAAAAAAATGGTTAGGGAAATTTATTCTCTATGATCCTAGCTCTGCTACTCTTGACATTTTATAGAATATTAACAAGTTGGAAGAAGCCTTAAAAATGAGATACTTTTTAATAAAATGGGACTTTCCAGGGAAGTAGAATGATACTTACTAGTTTCTTTTTAACATTAAAATCCTTCACACATGAAAGCTGAGCTGAAAATGTAAAACTTTTGTAGATAATAATGGTGTTTTAAAACAAAGTACATTTCCACATAAGGTTCGAGTAATCTTATAGCTTATTCTGTTGAAATTTACTTGAGGGTTTACTTTCAGATCTGGGTGTTGATGCATACTTTGAGAAATGACATTCTTTTGATTCCTAAAGTTCTGATTCTAAGGATATTAATTTTTTAGATGCTTAAAGTTAGAACAAAATTCTCAAGGCATGTATGGATGCTTTGAAATATAGTAAAACCTTAGTTTCTTGAGTCCTTCAGTATTTGCAAATTACTGTATTGACGATCTCTTTGGGTACTGTTTGTTCTATTGATCACATCTGTTTGAAGAATTTTCATCCAGCTCTGAGAATATTTTGGGGTGAAGAGTCAGTGCCTTGCTCATAATGGACATTGACTTGTGATAGGTTAGTGTTAGAAGTTGGAGAATTTGTGTGCTCAACCTGGAACCCAACTGTTGATGAGCTACACTGATGGAAGCGGATTCCTATGGACGCCCATGCTCATCTCCCCCTTGCTCTGCTCTTTACTGGTGAACTCTGCTTTTTGATCCCACTTTGATTTATTAATGCAGTCTTTTCAAAATTTAGGGGGCAAGGTTCCATTTTTGTTAAAGAAATGTGTCTTCCTCCCTTCTCCTGCCTTGCTCTTGAGATTTATTATTAACCTTGCAGGAGCCAGAGGATGAAGTATTTCTTGCCATTGCTAAAGCCATGGAAGAGATGGTGGAAGACAGTGTCGACTGTTACTGGATCATCCGATGCTTCGTGAACCAGCTAAACAACAAGTACCGGGATTCTTTACCCCAGCTGGTGAGGGGTTGTTTTGTTTGGGGCTTTTGAGGGGTGAGCAGTGGTCCTGGGGTCATCAGTGAATACTCTTACCCCCTGCCGCTGCTACAGTTAGGAGGGAAGCCTCTGTTGCAGGACTCAGCAAGGTTTTCTGTAAGAGAAGGATGGTAAATATTTCCAGCTTGGTGGGCCAGATGGTCTCTGTTGTAACCAGGCAGCTCTGCTGTTGGAGCACAAAAGCAAACAGCGCACTGGAAAATGGTTGGGGTTGGCAGTGCCCTGCTACAGGCCAGAGTGTGCCAACCCCTGCTCCGTGGTGTTCCTTACCCTGTTCCAGAATCCACTGAATATATTGAGAATGATCTCTCTGTATTAGTTAAGGTGTATATTTGCATGCATATAATGGAAGCCCAAGAAGCTTGTTTTCTTTCATGTAATCAGAAGTTCAGAGGTGAGGCAGACCAGAGCTGGGACTGTCCTGCCATGGGGAAGATAGGACTTCTGCTCCTGTTTTTTTGCTCCAGAATTCTTTCTCTACTGTTCACAAGGTAGCTGTTGGACTGATAGTTATGGCATCCACATTCTGGGCTGGAAAGAAGGGAAGGAAAAAGAAATGAAGGAGCAACTGGGCGTGGTGGTGAATGCCTGTAATCCCAGCTGCTTGGGAGGCCAAGGCAGAAGGATTGCAAGTTCAAGGCTAGACTAGACAACTGAGCAAGACTGTATGTCAATGAAAAGGGCTGGGGATGCAGTTCAGTGGTAGAGCACTCCTGGGTTCAAGCCTAGAATGGAAGAGAGAAAAAAAGGCGAAGGAGGAAGAGGGACATGTCTGTCCAGCCTGCCACCCTTAAGCAGGTTTCCTTCTGCATGTGTGCAGGGACTCTTCTGGTAAGGTAAGAAAGTCTCCAGTCAGGAGGTGTTTCATACACTTCACTTGCTGGACACCAGAGCTCCGCAGCCTGTGCACTGAGTGTGGGGGGTCACCTTCAGGATCATGGGCTTCTTGGGCTAGGGCTGTCAGACCACATGGCGATGTCCTGGGAAGTGGTCCAGAGTCAAAGTTTGAAGGACAGTTTCCACTGGATGCATATCATTTCACACTGTTGTAAAGTGAAAAAATCTTAAGCTAAGCCATCTTAAATTGGGGACAGTCTGCTGCTGGCCTCCACCTGCTGTGGATTCTGGGAAACATGGATTTTAAAAGCTTGGCACATGTTCATCTCCTATTAAAATGGGGTGCAGTTAGTGAAGGAGGGGTGTGTGGATGTGGGCCAGGCACCAGCTCTCTGCGCCGTGCCCTGGCTTGGGGATCCTGACAGCCAAAGGGCACTAGCTTGAGGGGTAAGCCAGTTTCCCTTGATCATTCTCTTTTTTCCCCACTTAGTCAGCTCGTGTATAGGAATGAATCTGTCTGTTTTCCTTGGTTATTGAGTTGTTCATTTGAAGGTTGTACAGGATATGGTTACTGTGCTCTGGGAGGAGGGGGAATGTGGAGTGGTGGTGGAGGCAGGTGAGCCCTGGGGATCACTCTGGAGTCCAAATACTGACCAAGAGGGAGGGTCGTGGGCCCTTCAGGTTCATGGAGCTTTTATGAAAACAGTTATTATGTATTTCAGTTAAGTAAAATTTGATTTTTAGGTTTCTAAAATTTGATCCACCTAATTGATTTCAATAAAAATAACTGAATCATGGATGGGGAGTGTAAGTAAATGTAATGCTAGTTGCCTAATTAAATCAGGAGATCTCAATTATATATGGTTTAATTAGCTTTTCTTGTTTAATATTGGAGTCAGTGGCATTATTTTTTAGGAACGTAAGTAGTATATGAACATATTCTTAAAAGAAGTTAAATAATCCAGATGAATCTCTGATTTCCTAAATCTTTACCATCTGCCCCCACCCCCTTACCTTCTCTAAGCAGTAAACCTTGCTGTCACCTGGTGAGTATTCTTCTAGACTGTCGCGCACACACATGTGTAAAGTGATGTTAAAAAGCACTTAAGTAGCATCATTCATGTACATGTGGCCCTGTAGTTCTTGTGTTTATTTTTATTTTTAATGTAATGCTTAGAGAAGTTTCCGTGTTGGTACATATAGTTTTCAGACCTGGCTTCTTTCAGTACAATTTCTGCCACCTTTTGTCCTCCACCCAGGTCAGTTATATCAGTCTCTAAGGGTGAGGTGCTGGGATGCTAATTTTTTAGAAGCTGGAGGCAGTTCTGTAGTGGGAGCCATTCATATGGAACCACTTTCCCTTCTAATTCACTCATAGTATTTCCTGTTGTGAGTTTGACATAATGAGGAGGCAGAGCCGTGCTGACAGGAGACCCCTCTGTAAGTTCTCTGTGTGTGTGTCTCCTCTAGGTGGGGGCCTCTAAGCCAGTGTGCAGGTGAAGGGGAGACATCTTTAAAATCTGTGTGTGCCTTGTTAAAATCTTAAACTCCATGTCAGTTTATGCCCCCCAGACAGACTATGAGGTCTCCTCTTTTCAACCCCAGTGTCTGCACCTGATGGTGTCCATCTCTGAAGCATTTGTCCATCTGCTGGTGAAGTGCTTCTCATGTTCAGTTGCGTATCTGCAGTGTTGGGAGAGGTCGAGCAGTTTACATATTTCTGTTTATTCTTTCCTCTCAGGAATCATGAGCATAGTCTGGAAGTCTATCCTTTACCTATTGCACATGTTGGGAATCATCCCCATCTGTTGAGTAAGACTTTCAAGTTTTGATAAAGTGGAGTTTCAGTATTCTTTTGCTTGTTTTATATGTTAAAACAACCTTTCCATCCCAAGATTTAAAAACATATATTCTTTTAACATTTAAAAAATGCTTAACATTTTCAGTTTAGTCTCCCTTCCCAGGGATTTCTCACAAGAGGTATCAGACACCACTCTTTTATACCTGCCTACAACACCACAGTCCTACCAGTGCACTCTCTCCCCCTCTGGTTAGCACACTGAGAATATTCTTCATGTCAGGAGTGCTAAATTTCCCTTATTAACCAACTACTTCTTTTCAGCATATCATCTCTGTGTTTACAGATGAGAATACTGAAGCAAGAAGAGATTCAGTCATTTGCCCAAGGTCACACAGTAACTGGCAGAACATACTACTTTTTCCCTTTTTTCCCCTCAGATTCAAAATGCCATCTTTATTATATATGGCATCGCTGCTTGTACTTGTACCTCTTTTCCAGGTTCTTTTTTCCATTGAGTTATTTGTCTACTCTTTGGCCCATATAGTTCAGTTAGTACAGATTTCTAGTATATTTTGATAGCTGGTAGGAAAAGTTCCCTCTTTCTTTTTCAGAAATGCCTTGGATATTCTTGAGTTTTCTTTTTAGGAATGAATTTTAGAATGGGAAAATCTAATGTCTCATAAACTTTGATTTCCTCATTGGTAAAAACAGAGTTTATTTTAGTAAATACAATATAGTGCCTGACACATAGTTTTTTAAAAGAGGTCTTTGGACTATAAGAAAAGCTAAACTTCCTGTCGTTGCTGTTTGATTTGGGCTTCAGGCGATTTGCCTGTTGAACTTTGGTTTGAACGGTGCTGTCCTGAAATTCCTTGTTGTCTTGCAGTGGATCTCTCCCTCTTGGTCTGTTGTCAAAGCAGAGTTTCCGTTATCCTGGTCTGTTACTTCTATTTTTGTAGTTTGACCAGAGAAATTTGTACTCACAAGGTGCAGGCTGCTTTCTCACCACTGTCAAGGATGATCGACAGTGACACTGAGGTTCCAAGTGACGTGCTCGTCAGTCACGCTGCATAGTTTTCATCCCCAGATTGCGTCAAGGCTTCCTCCTCACTGGCTTCCAGAATTCTGCTCTTTGGCAAGGCTTCTCATGACCACGAGGAGTGGAGGCTAGCCCGAGTCGCGTGGCAGGAAGGCCTCTTCACCCAAACTCAATTGTGCTCAGTCAGCAGAACACGTGAGTGGTCTTTGTGTGGCTGTCGCCCTGTCTCACAGCCAGCCCAACAGAGGTGTTAAAATGAGCAGGCAGCAGCCTCTTCCTATGGGTGCGTCTCTTGTCAGGTTCACAGTCTGTTGATGATGTGCTTTATCATCTTCAACAAGTTAAGAATTTGGGTGCATGGGAATATTGGAAAAAATTTTACCGAAAAATTTAGAACCTAAAGGTTCAGTGGTAACAGAATTATAATAGATTTTATTTACCATTTGCTGAGTGCAAAGATATCAGGCAATACCTTTCATTAAAAATATATACATCCATGTTTGAATTCACCTGTTTTCTTAGCTTAAGCCGTAGCCTGCAGCACACATTCTTTCCCATCCTGCTGTGAGCCTGATGTGGCTGGCGTCCTGCCCTAGTGGGAGGTACCGATACTCCACAGTTTTTCAGGGCTCTGTGCTTCTCCATCATGTGCACATTCCCTAGTTTATTCAGCCTGTTCTCTGTTGGCCACGTGGGTGTGTCCACCTTACAGTTGTTACAGAGGCGCAGTTACAGATGAGTGGCTTTGTGCCTACATCTCTTCACGTTTGCCAGGAGAGTTTTGGTGTAGATGTCCTAGAAGCAGATTGGCTGGATCAAGGGGTAAATGCATACATGACTTTCCTAGAGGTGACCCATCCCCCTCACAGAGCTCGTGGTCTTCTGTATCCTCGGGACCAGTGGATCCATTCCTCACAGCCAGTTCCCCTGAGTGGGTGTGGTTAGTCTTTGGAGTTTTGCCATCCTTGAGGCTGACCCATGCCTCAGGGTAGCTCTAGGTTGTACTTCCTTCTGACACACAGAGTGGAGGCTCTTTTCAGGTGGGTAAGAGCAGTGTGCATTGTTTTCTATAGCATTCTTGTCTCTTTCCTTCCCTATTTTTAGAAGCTCTTTTTAGGGCTACTAACCCTTTAAGGTATTTATTAACCTGGGAAAATACTCACAATTTGTTAAGTACAAAAAGCAGAATCTTAAATTGTATATTCAACATGAGCCCAACGAATGACAGACTGAAGTGTGTGTGTGTGTGTGTGTGTGTGTGTGTATGTGTGCACGTGCATGTGTGTGTGCAGGAAGAGTAGATGTGCAAAACACATGACTGGTGGTTGTCACTGGATGGTGTAATTGTAAGTGACCTTTGAATTCTTTATTCTTTTCTGCATTTTCAAGATTTCTTATACTAGCATATTATAAATCAGGAAGAAAAATTTATAAGAAATTAGCAAAAAGGTGAACACTGAGTGATTATCAGTATATTCCTAAACTTCATATTAATTCATGGTATTCACTTACTCAAAAAATAACATATCTGGTGTTTACTATGCCAAGTCATGTTGTGAGTCCTGGAGATCCAGCAGAGAACAAGACAGGTGTGCTCCCTGCTCTCAGTGAGCTTCTAGTCTCATCAAGGAGAAGAGACATAACAGAGGATGATTTTAAAACATTCTTCTGTATCCTGTTTATTACCTGGGCTGACTTGTGGATGAAATTCTCTTCGTAGTGAGACACAGTACTC